CCTTCACATATGCAGAAAAAATCTGAGATACGGCAGGTCACCGTTTCATGGGGAAGGACATACTATATCTATCCCAGGGACCGTGCTATCAGTAGAGAGAAGAGGAGACGTGAGCAAGTTGACGATGTCGGCACGGCGGTCGACTTCCTTTTCAAATCCAAGTGACTCGATAGTGGTCGATGCTGTAGCTCCCTTATATATGTGTGTGGGGGAAGGGGCAAAAAAGTTTTTTTGCCCATGGATCAAGTCGGTGATGAAGGGGTTGTGGCTAGATGTTCCTTAACCCTTTGACGACCGCCGTTATGCGTGCGTCACTTCACTTTCTTTTCAAATTTTTTCATCAATATTCATTAACTCTCCAACAATTTCACTATTAGTAATGAGCACATTATTATTGCGGATTCCGATAATGTGCATGGGTAGTTTGAAAGTTGAAAAATGCCAAATAAACCACGAAAAACGAGTCGCTTCCGAATGAAAGTGTGGCCCACCGGCGGGCCACACGGTCGTCAAAGGGTTGACTATCCCCCAGAAAGCACCCCCCCCCCTCCCTTAAGTGCCCTCGTCGTCCTCGGGTTGTGAGGTCATCTGCCATCGCCGTCGAGCTCGAAGAGGCCTACTGTGATCGCTCCATTGCTGCTACATGATTTCTTTAATCGCTTAACTAATACTTAGTTTGCTGGAGAAAGTGGCTCTGAATTTGCAAGACCTCTTCTGGCCAACTATCGTTTTATTGGTCTACTATCCGTCGAGGGCCTTGTTGAGCTCGAAGCGTGCACCATGTTCTCGTGGAAATTCTTCTGAAGTCTTCGGTGTAGAAGGCTGTTGTGAAGCTTTTTGATAGATTGGAATGTGCTCTTCAATTTTCAGTTGGGAAGCATTGGTTTGGTTTCAGCAAAGTGTAACTCAATTCCGTTTTGAAGTCGATAGTGATGGACTTTTCCGCCCCCCCCCCCCCCCGGAACCTCCATACATCGAATGAATCAGGCGTGGAATGGGCTGCTGGAGGGCTACACTTTGCTAGGTGTATTAGGCCACAGAATGGTTTTGTTGAGGAGTGAAGTGGTTCGATGGATAGCGGCCAAAAGCGAGCAAGGGCAGCGCAAAATCGACGACCAATGGAAGCATTTCGATTTGTCGATATGGAGGCATGTTTGACGAGAAGTTGCATGGAAAATAAAAAGTATAATCTTTACAAATTCTCCATGGTCTTGTTGAGCTTGGTAATAATTCTTCCATAAGTCTGCAATAGACCATTTGACATGCACGCCATTCCCAAGGGCTATGAGCCTAGCGAACTCAATTTTTTCTAACACTTTATGTCTCACACGATTTCGTTGAAGGGCCGCTATTAGGAGTGTCCATGTTCTCTTTTTTGGAACCTTGGCATTATTGGTCGAATTATTTGCGATAGAAGAATTAAGCTGTTAGGATATTTTGTACGCAGCAAGAATACAAGCGACGTAATCAATAAATAAGTGAATAAATAATTTTTTGTTTCCCGCCACGGTTCATGCCGTAGTTGCAGAATTGGCAAAACACAACATTCAATAGCATCAAAAACTTTGGAAAGTGCAAAAGATATCAATTTTTTGGAGACATTTCAAATAGTAAAAAGTCAGCAATTGCAGCATATCTTCAAGTAGAAAACAAGGAGCACTCAGTCACATATTTAAAGGATAAAGGATAAAGCGTTGATCAATCCCTTTTTGGGATGCGGCACGCATTCTACTTCCATTTGTACATTCGTAGTGGCGTTTGAATGCGATGTGGCCTATACAATGACTTGGGGGCCAGCCGATGTACAAGTCAGTGTTTTTATCCTCCCAGACAAGTCTGGTACCAATTAACCGACCCCGGAGGGATGGAAGGCTTGGTTGGCCCGGGCGACTCACGACCCAGGATTTGATCCCCGGACCGCTCGCGTGGTAAGCGTGCCACTTGCCACTTTACACTTCGAAAAATAAAAAAAAAGGAAAATAGCTATACTTCGTATGATCATGCTAAGGATTTCCAACTTTTATACCGTTCCGTGATACTGCGGGGATTGCTGTCGTCTTGTTTCTCCACAGTTTTCAATTTCGAGGTAGAGGAACTTAAAGGCAAAGTTCGGGCTCAGACCCACCTAAGAAGCCCTTACCATGGCTAGAAGTGCTGGGTACGCAAGTGCAAAGGTAGCGCCACCTTTCTACATCGAAACGCGTCACTAGGACCCTAGGCGCCATGGACTTCTAACAGACTCCACCAAACTTAACATGGTCCGCCCACCGTTCGATATCTTGTCTGCGTCGCTGCGTTGATCTGCTATGCTCTCTCTTCTCGGACTTCTCTACCGCTCTCCGCGCTCACATTATCTCTCATCTCCCTGCCCTTTTGAACTTCTCCACAGCATAGAGCAAAATGCTCCTGTGTATTTCAGGATTTTCTTTCCTTTTTTCTCCACTGGCGGTCCACCTCCCATCCCTACTTTCACATTTGAGTGGAATCACCCATCAATTTAATCCTGATTCTTGCCTTTAAGGAACGGCTACAACGAGGACCATTTTCCATTGTTCCTCACTTATTGCACGGTACCGTAGACAGAGTCAACCCTGCGTTGCGCAGTTCGCAACGGCACGCTGTATGGGCGGAGACGCAGACGGCTCGAGCATGCGAGTGTGAATGTTCGCGCGAGAGAACTTGTCTAATCGGGCGAAACTGCGCAACGTGGCCGTTGAGAACTGCGCAACGCAGGGTTGACCCTGCCCAGGCGTGCCATATAAATTGTTTATCAGCCACCAAAATTGGATATTT